GGGGGTACCGCGCGGCGCTTGGCGGGCCGCGATGGCGGGCCGCGCCGATGGGGGCGGCTGCTGGGATCCAGGCCGGCCCCTCGCGGCTACGCGTTCAAGTGTGCGGGCACACTGGGGTCCGCAGATTCGGTGGCGAGCGAGGGGGGGAGTGAGAAGGAGGAGGTCTTCTCGGAAGGCGGTGGGGTTTCTCAGAAGCTCTCGCGCCTGTGAGAGGTTCTCTGTGTCTTCGGGGAAGGCCGAGAAATTCCTCTCAGAAGGCCGGGGGACTTCCGAGCCTTTCGAGAAGGCCTTCTCCTTCTCACTTTCCTCCCGGGCTTGCCGCCGACAGATGATTGAACGCGATGCGTTAGCAGCGCCTTGCGCTCCCAGGTTTGGCCTCCCCACGGCACCCGAACGTCGCGCACCGAATGTCGCTCTTGCCTAGGGTCACTCTTGCGCGTAGCCGACCTCGGCTACGTGTAAGGTGACCTTTCGCCAGACTGACTTTTGGTCGGGACGATCGAAATGGGCACGGAAATAATGGGTCCGAAGACTATCACCAATTCCTGTTCATTTTGAACAGGGCTCGCTGTCGGTGTCGCCGCGGGCGGCGGGCGATGTCCATTTGAGAGAGGAGGCCGCCTGCCCAGCAGCGGCCGCTGTCGGTTTTGGAGAAGCATGTGTTGTTGGCCATCGTGCTCATGTTTTCAGTACCCATGTCGGGCGTCCGAATAAGAGTAACCTTTCGCCGGAGTGCTTCCTGGAGTGAGATCACAGGGTGGCCCCAGTACTGGCCCGCGCGCTGGGATTTGGGCCCTTCGCGGTTCCCTAGAGCCGCGCACCAAGGGTCGCTCTTTCCTAGGGTCACTTGTGCGTGCAGTCGACCCTCGTCGGTTCCCTCTCTCCTTTGGCGGTTCAATGATGGGGCCTTCGCAGGGATGTGGCCCTAAGGACGAGGTGCCTCAAACGATGTAAATCCACCATGGGCTCCCCTCAGGACCACCTGTTGAACCACCGAAATGGGACCCTGAGGGATGGGGCCCGAAAGACGAGGGGCCTCAAACGATGTAAATTCGGCCTGGTATCCCTTCCGATCCTCAGGGCCCCATCCCTCAGGACCACCTTTTTGAACCACCGAGATAGGGCCTTGAGGGATGGGGCCCGAAAGACGAGGGACCTCACACGATGTACATTCAACCTACTGTGTCCCTTCCCTAGAATGCAAATGCCGGGAGGTTAGATTCTGTATCGGCGCTGGTATTTTCGCGGTCGATAGTCGGCTCAATTTGGGCAAATCAGGCCTAGTTCGGCTTAGTCCAGCTTAATCCGGCTTGATCGCCAGCTTCATCCCGCCTGATCTGGTAAACTGGCACCTTAATGGGTCTGAATCGCTTTTAATCGTTCTAACGAAAACCTCCCAGGAGTTGCCTCCGAATCTTCCTATTCTGAGGGCCCCATCGCTCAGGGCCCCATCTCTGAACCGCCGACGCCTCCGCCGCGGGCCAGCCTGCGTGGCCGCCAGAGGAGCGACCATCGAACTCGTCGGGAGGGGGCGGGAGGGGGGGGGCGGCAGCGTCGGAACGCGCCGCGGCGCGTGTGGCGGCTGGCCGGTGGGGCCACCGGTGCTGCCTCGGCTGCGTCTGGAGGCGATGGCTCGGATCATCAGCGGCAACATCTGGCTCGGAGGAGGCACTGGAAAGGAGGAGGAGGAGGTGGAGGAGGAGGCGGATGGGCAGGATGAGGAGGAGGAGGAGGAGGAGGAGGAGGAGGAGGAGGAGGAGGAGGAGGAGGAGGAGGAGTAGGAGGAGGAGGAGGAGGAGGAGGAGGCGGAGGAGGAGGAGGAGGAGGAGGCGGATGAGGAGGCGGATGAGGAGAGGGATGGGGAGGCGGAGTAGGAGTAGGAGGAGTAGGAGGCGGATGAGGAGGAGGCGGAGGAGGAGGCGGATGAGCAGGATGACGATGATGATGAGTAGATGATGATGATGCTGATGATGCTGATGATGAGGAGGATGATGATGCTGATGATGATGCTGATGATGCTGATGCTGCTGCTGATGCTGATGCTCAAGCTGATGGTGTTGATGATGATGCTGACGATGACGACGATGCTGTTGAGGCTGATGATGATGATGTTGATGATGATGCTGCTGATGCTGAGGGTGATGATGATTCGGATTATGATGATGATGATGATGATGATGATGATGATGATGTTGTTGTTGTTGAATATTATTCCTTCTAAAGAATTATTATTGTTGGGACCCCTGGTGCGCGACCTCTGCGCCGCGCCTAGGCCGCAGCTACATTTTCATCATTTTTTCGCGAAAGCTTCAGAAAAGTGGATTGTGTCCGGATCCGGTTGTTTTGTTGACGCCGTTTTCCCTTGCAAAAAACAATAGAAAATGAAAATTCTTGTTCTTACTTGATCAAATTGCAAGAATCCCTTGCAAAAAATAAGGTAAAGTGGACATTCGTGCGCGCAAGACGAAATCCTTCCAAAACCTTAGGTTTCGTAACGATTTTAACATAAAAACATCAAAAACCCAATGGTTTTTTAAGAAAAAATTGTCAAAATGTCCTTCCGCGCGCGCTGTCCGAATCCCACAAAACCAATGGTTTTTCAACATTTATGTTACATGAGCTCGCGCGAGCTACTTTTTCTTGTTCTAACATAATCAAATTTCAATAATCCCTTGCAAAAAATAAGGTAAAGTGGACATTCGCGCGCGCAAGACGAAATCCTTCCAGAACCTTAGGTTTCGTAACGATTTCAACATAAAAACATCAAAAAACCCAATGGTTTTTCAAAAAAAAATGTCCAAATTTCATCCCGCGCGCGCTGTCCGACTCTGGTTTTTCAACATTTATGTTACATGAGCTCGCGCGAGCTACTTTTTCTTGTTCTAACATAATCAAATTTCAATACTCCCTTGCAAAAAAAAGTAAAGTGGACATTCGCGCGCGCAAGACCAACAAAAAACACGACGATCTCAGGAACTTGCCCCAAAAATGTGACCAACTCCGCTCTCTCTGTCTCTCTCTCTGTCTGCTCTCTGTCTCTCTCTCTGTCTGTCTGTGTCATGTATTGTATGTCACAATTGCAGGATGCTGGGCACACGCGCGCCCCGAATAAGTGACCAAGTTCTGTGGGTGTGTACCCCACGCCAGTGTAGTAGCCACGGTCGTCCGCACGCCACGAAGTGAAGTGTCCCAACGTCATAGGGCGGGAAGCTGGGTTTGGGTGGTCGCGAAGAGTCGTTTGGATATTTGGTAGAGCTTGAACTGCCCCCCCACGAAGTGGGGGTATTGTCTCGCGTCGCATGAAAACCCTGGCACTGGTGAGAACACTGAGCGTTCGGGTAAAATGATTGTTGTTGTTGTTGTTGTTGTTGTTATTGTTGTTGTTGCTGTTGTTGCAGCTGATGATGATGCTGCTGATGATGATGCTGCTGACGATGATGATCTTGATGGTGGTGATGATAATGATGATGCTGATGCTGATGCTGATGGTTACGCTGATGCTGATGATGACGATTACGATGACGATGATGCTGATTATTGCGATGATGATGATTCTGTTGATGATGATGATGCTGATGCTGATGATGATGATGATGACGATGACGATGACGATGATGATGATGATGATGATGATGATGATGATGATGATGATGATGATGATCATGATGACGATGCTGATGAGTATTATTATTAGAGGATGATGAGTATGATGATGATTTCATGATGATGATGGTGCTGCTGCTGATGATGATGATGATGATGTTGATGATGATGATGGCGGTGGTGGTGGTGGTGATGCTGCTGCTGATGATGCCGATGATGATGCTGGTGATGATGATGATGATGATGATGATGATGATGATGATGATGATGGTGATGATGATGATGAAGAAGAAGATGTTGAAGATGTTGAAGATGTTGAAGATGATGATGATGATGATGATGATGATGATGATGATGATGCTGATGCTGATGCTGCTGCTGCTGCTGATGATGATGATGATGATGATGACGACGATGATGATGATGATGATGATGATGATGATGATGATGATGATGATGATGATGATGATGATGATGATGATGATGATGATGATGATGATGATGATGATGATGATGATGATGATGATGATGATGATGATGATGATGATGTGATGATGATGATGATGATGATGATGATGATGATGATGGACGAGAGGAGGAGGAGGAGGAGGAGGAGGAGGAGGAGGAGGAGAGGGAGGAGGAGGAGGAGGCGGAGGAGGAGGAGGCGGAGAAGGAGGTGGATGCAAAGGCGGATGAGGAGGCGGAGGACGAGGAGGAGGAGGAGGAGGAGGTGGAGGAGGATGAAAAGGAGGATAAGGAGGAGAAGGAGGAAGAGGAGGAGGGCGGAGGAGGAGGAGGAGGAGGAGGCGGATCTTTCGACCCCGCTCTTCGCTTGCTGGCCGCACCAGGTTGTACATGGGATCTGGGAATCGGGGTTACATCCATGTCCCTGCTGCCGTCTCCTGGAGGGCAGGGCATGGACAACAGCTTGGTCACCAGAGTCCAGATTTGGCTCCATGCCCCAACTCCGCCGTCTCATAAAGTTCTGGGCGTGAGCAGGGGTGCGGCTAAAACGTCGAACGCCTGTTCCTTCGTCGCTTCCGTCCGGCGGCACGTTTAGCTTGGGTTGGCATCGGGCGAGGTACATGTCTCTTCCGATGGGGAGGAGGAGGCGGAGGATGAGGAGGAGGAGGCGGAGGAGGAGGAAGAGAAGGAGGAGGAGGGTAAGGAGGAGGAGGATAATAATATTAATCATCGCAGAAACAAGATTAATAGTGATAATATCAAGAGTATCGTTAGTATTCAGAAGAGCCATATCAATCATATTAATACGAAGAGCAATACAGCTAACAATATTACACATTACAGTAATACTACGCGTATTGCTGATTATATTAATTCAATGAGTACGAATAGTAGTAGTACACGTAGCAGTACCACTTTGAATATTCTTTTACTACTATCATCATCATCGTTACTATCATTGTTATCATGATTCTTAGTATTATCATTATTGGTAATAGTATTG